CCGGAAACGGGCCCTTAAGAGCTGCGCTCTAAAACGATTACATGTCAGGATGAAAGGAAAACATCAACACACTGTCGAAATTTTTCCTTCGGGTTCAGAAATGTCAATATTAAGATTACCCGAGCTAGATTCCAATTTGTTGAGAACCAGTTGCAAACGAGTCGTGGGATCAGTTTTGCACAAAGGGTAACGGATCAAATAAGGAGTGAACACGGCTTACCCTCTGAGGAACTCGGAAACATACACAGTTTAGTAGCGCCGGTGAGTCTCTACAACCATTTACGACCTTGTACAAGAACATAAACTCCAGAATCATACGTCTGGTACACAAGGATTTTAATTATATTATAGTCATAGAATACACTGGGCTGTTAATAAAGATCATAAAACAGACTTCTACATTTTGTTTGGATAGGCTCAATACTAGACGAATTGGTCCCTCCAATAAAGCTCCACACGATTGAGGCAAAGTCAAGGCGGCGTCGTACAAGGAAACAAAGTAACGTGAGGGAACAGGGTGGGTTCTTAAAGTTGTTAGACATACGCGTCATGACACCTAAAACGCGTAGAGACGAACTGAAAGCATGCCTAGCTTGGGGATTAAAAAAAAGCTCAGCATTTATACAAACACACAAGTTGCGAATCAGACACACGACTAATAACTGTAGTATCTGAAGTGTAGAAGAATCGCGTAATGTGACGTTTTCTACATAGAAAAATAACTTTTGCTTTTGATTCGTACAGAACAAGATCGTTAGACAGGCACCACGTTACAGATAGAACACATATCACGTTGAAGAGAGACACAGTCTTGTACAGTATTTGTCAGCCGAAACAATTTGATGTCATCAGCAAATAAAAGCAGTTTATTCGCTGAATGCTTATTCTCCGCACAAATGTAGCCCTGGAAGTTTGTACCAGATGCCAAAGGTTCCAGCACTACCCCTTACCTTATTATAAATATATGATTCTCTAAAATTTTCACTGGGAAAGATGGGGACTATTTTCGTCCGTTTTCAGTAAATACCGCCATCTTCCCACTTAAAATTTCAAAAGACCGCTGATAAGTTTTGAACAGAATAAAGGTTAGGGCTGAAACTTTAGCATCTCATTCGGACCTCTAGCGCTAGATTATGGTGGAGAATCAGCGTTCGGCGATGTGTAGTTATTTTTTGTAAAAAACAAACGAAAAAACAACAGCAAAAAAAAGTCCTTGTAATTTTTTTTTTTTTTGACACCTTCCACAGCATAGTAACGAAGCAAGAAGCGTGGATATAATAATTCACGCCCTGCGTTTCTTCAAGTGCCTTTAAAGGGAAGCTACGGAGCTTCTTGAAAAAAATGAGTCAGAAGTGAATTCTAGTGTATTTTTACCTCGTGAACCCGAATACCAAAACCATTTGCCGCGCAAGTATTGTTAAACGCGGGAAAAACGCGAAGGACAGTCGCTGTACGTGACGTCATCGACGGATCTTTTGGCTTGCCAAGGCTAGGGAGGCGGGGCTTCAGCCCTATTTTCAAATTGCTCTTATGGCTCTCCGGCGCGTCGCATTGAAATATAATTGTGATATCTGTTATTCTAATGGCCAAATGAGCGCAATTCAAGCGTTTTTTCTCAAATGTAGAAGTGCCCCATCTTCCCTTTAAGTGGTTGAAATTGATTTTCTTGGCATGATGTCGAACTCCAAGTGTCTGATACGGAGTATTTGTGATTGAACTCTTGTGTGTGGGCTCTCTTTTTTCTCTTTCTCTTTTTCACTTTTTATCTCTTTTTCAGTACAGCGAACAGAGCTGATGTACCGTAATTTCTAATGTATAAGCCGAGAATTTTTTCCCCATAATTTTTGTCGGTGCGCTTTATACAATGGTGCGATTTCTATGAACTACCTTTTCTGTATGGAACCTTAAATGAGGAAATTTGCCACGGGGTTATATTTCTCGTTCCAATCGTTGGCAAGGATATTGAAACTTGGTCTCGCTTGCTCATATATAGCAAGCGTAACATACATATGCGGGCTTTTTCATGCAGTTTCGCCACGCCGTCCGTATACACATACAGGGTGGTGAAATAACAGTTACTGCGCAGGCGAGCTGGTGAAAAGTTCTAGTGAAAAAACTTCGAGAGTAGGTACAAAAAAGGGGACATCACAACGCACCCGCAGGTGTTGTGTTGTACCTAGTCTGAAAGCTTTTTTTTTCACTATAATTTTTATCTAATCTAGCTTAACCTAACGGAATCGCAAAAAAAAAAAAGTTAAAATACGTTTTTTTTTTAGCGGAGTTATACGGCCAGGGGCACATAATATAGGGGGCTAATCATCGCGATACGTCGGTTAATTAACTAATGTATGTTATGAATCTAATAACTTGTGAAAATAGACCATGGGTTCAATTAGACATTTGCTGAGCGTCATTGAAAATCTCTAAGCGAATAATTTTTAGGCACTTTGAGCGCATGGGAAGCGCGGTATAGTGCGCTAAAGTTACCCCCGTGCAAAAGGCGCTAGGCTGGGGGGAGAAAATACATGTAATAAAAGAGGGATAAACCGCGCGGGCGCGTCATCACCACGGTAGCCTCGCTGCTGCTGCACGAAGGGTGACTTTAGCGCTCCACCGTGCTTCCCACGACCTTTAAGCCTTTTCATATTGACTGATTTAGTGGTTTTCGATGACGCTCAGTTTATAATTAAAAGCACACGTTTATTTTCAATAAATAAATTTCACTAATTAACATCTTTTAGTTAATTAGCCGAGTGATCGTTACGATTAGCCCTTTATACTATGTCCCCCCTGCGCAAACCGCACTACTGTGGCTTTCAGGGCTCTTTTTCTCCTTATATATAGCTTCTACTTATACAGACAAGAGTTATATACAAACCTCCTTCTGCAAAGAACCGTTCAGTGAGGGTGTGAATTATACAAAGGCGTGATCTATAGACCGGAACATACCGTATGTATACGCACGGGCAGCTTGCCAAAGCCAGTAACCATGAAATCAGTTCAGAAAGCGTTTATTGGCCTTTTGGGGAGGGAGAGTGGGAGTGAGATCGGTGACTTACAAGCCTGGATGTATGGCCAAGGGAGGGGCATTTTTCAACTTCGTCCTCCTCAGCTTCCCTCCTCATCTCAAAAAGCGAAATCAGAAATCGCGTAGTCGTGACTTAGTATTTTTCACCGGATGCGATGACTCCAACCTTCCGCCGTGCTTCTTAATGGCGCCGTGGAACTTCTCATTCCAAAGTATAGGCGAATCCAAATATTTGAGGACGGGTTGATCCCTCACGAGCGCATACTGCGTGAGCCATGGGTTCGGATGACGTACTCTGGCGCCGCGGATGCAAAGCGGTGAAAAGGCGCAACGCTTTTGATGCGAAGGAGGGAAGAAATAGTAGCTATATTTTCAAATTTTTGTGTACCGAAAAGCAGGTTTTTGGCTTTTTGTACTAGCTTCTTTTTTTGTCATATCTTTTTGCGATGAGTAACATTTTAGTTGTAAATAATTTATCCCAGTCCAAAATTCACTTCGTTGTTAATTTCGATTCTTGGGCGCGGACAGAAAGACGCGTGTGAGCGCAGAGGCTGCGGCGTCATTTGTGTTTTGTTATTCATTCAATGTGAACTTTTTGATTGAAGATGCCTGGCTGGTGTAGCAGCGCTCGGGCCATTGAACGGACGTACCTTGCTCACTTCTCTTTAACATTATAGCGTCTGTTTTAGCCTTTAATTGAAGCACCGAAAATGTTTCAAAACTCTGATGATAATAATTGTTGGAGTATAATAGATATCGAATACTTGTAATTTAAAAGAATCTTTCAAACTTGCCGCCAAAAAAAAAAAAAAAAGTCCGCACAAATTTTTTTTTTTTTTTTTTTTTTTTTTTTTTGTAGGCTTCTTTGGGGCTAAATTGCCCCTCTTAGTTTTCGAGCTCTGTGGTAATGGGGCGGAGGAATTGACCGCGCCCGAAGTCGTGAATTGGTATAACCGCACTTGGGTGGTCTTGTGGGGTCCGTATACTCGCTGCATATGTGCAGTTCTACTTTACGGGCTTTAGTATGAAACACAACTGGAGTGTGTATGTATACTTCTGTACAGCATGCGTTCCGGGATACGAGGTAACTATTTAAAAAACGGCAGTCTTTTTGTTAAATTAGAATAATAATAAAAAAAAAAAACGTTTTCGACTCTATTTTTTTTTTCTCAAGTTCTTCAGTGTGTTTTTGCTATTGATGAGGGACACATCGACAACAATCCCATAAACAAGGTAAGTTTTGTTTAGTTTATTTTATGCGTTTGACCAGAATTAAAATACTCAAGTGCGGCGTAGAATCACGACATTCACTTTTCACGAAGAGTGGTATCTTTTTGTTTTAATGCTGCTGTTAACATAGCGAAGAAACGCTAATTCAGACGCACAAAACATAAAAAGAAGAAAAGCCTGCATCCAGCGACTTCTACTTTACCGCCAGATTCGAAGAGAAATAAGCATGGTAGACACGAATCCGCATGTTCTCTTACAATTAATATTTAGACGAGCTTAGCCATGTTTTCAATATTTTCGTTTCGTCTTATTCGTGCCTCAACCGACGACGCAAGCCGACTCATTAGTACATCTACTCCCATGTTTTCTTTAGCTGTTCATTTCCATCCACACGAAGTCTTGCTGGGCTTTCCCGACCAGCGATTGCGTTCTTGCTGTTGCCTGGCCATACTCTAGCTGACGGCACAGTGGGAGCAGCTACGCGATCGCCTGACCAATCAACACCCTCCATTTCCCCTACTGACCCCGCTCGCCGCTTGCGTGTAAGAGCGGAAGCGTGATCACGTGGCGGAAGATCGACGTGCGATTGGATGGAAGGAGCATGTAGCCTCTACAGCACTGTCAGCTTAGGGATGAACGGAGCGTGGCATTCCATCGCGGGCCCTTTTCTCCCTCTCGCTCTAAGTGGAGAGAAGGAAGCCGACGACCCCCCCCCCCCCCCCTCCCTCTCGGTGAGGAGGTCAGAGAGCGGGGGGGGGGGGGGGGGGATGAGAGAGAGATGCCGCCAGCGACTTTGTTGTCGTAAAAGCAAGACCGAAAAAAGACCGGTCGTGGGGCGGAGCAGCTAGGCCACCGAAGTCCGTTGGTGCAGTCGGCCAAAGACGTGCTGCTGCTTGTTGCGCGCTGTGCTTCCCTGACTTGTTCGGACACGTTTCTGTTGTGCTGCTTCGCGCGCCGGTGACGACGCGACGATCAGGTGGTGGGAAAGCACACGAGGTGGCGCGGACACCGGCGGGGAGAGAGAGAGAGGTCGCGTACTGGACGAAGTTCTGCGAGGAACCTGTGCTGCCTGTGCTTCGGTTGCTGAGGTGCTACCGGGAGAAGAGGGTCTGACATTCCTGCAAGGAGGGACCACAACGTTCGGCCAACGTGAGTGTAATGTCGTTGCGTCATTTTATAGGAGTGCGCGAATACCGCGTCATTTCCAACTAGGATGCTGTAAAAAGTGCCGGTATATCACGGGTTGTGCCTGTGAAGGTCGCGAATGACCAGGTTTGATTATTTAATTAGAATCACTAGTAGGACGCCCATAATCATCTCTTAATAATTAGCAACGCTCACGGAGGTGATACGAACACTGTTGACGAACCGGATACACCTCGAAATGGTGCCCGGCTTGTTGACAAACACGTCTTGCTGCTGTTTGGTGACGCCCGATATATCTTTGAACCAATATATAATCTAAGCCACAGTACTAGGAGGAATGGAATCAACGGAAAGCACGACACAAAATTGACTCGTTTTGGACACAAAGTTTGTGTTCGTTGTCGGTCATTTTATTTGTTGTTTTCTCAGGGCTTAGATTATTGTTCCCTAGCGAGCTCACCTGCGTGTTCTTTCTTTTGTTGATATCTTTGAAGTTTCCAGCATGGCTTTTTTTGCTACATATCTGATAGCAGACTGCTTCTTGATGTCCCACGTGCAGCCCTCAGATTTGTTTAATATCTGTTTGCAAAGTACGGTGATCGTTGGGCGAGAGAATGGACCTGCAAATTACGCAGTTGTTTGCAAACAAACGAACCGATGACGAGATGTTCTCATGAACGCTATTAATGTAGATTAGAACGAGTAAGGGCCCGAGTGCACTGCCCCGAGGGACACCTGAGGTTTCCGCGCACGAGGGGGATTTAGCATTATTAATGGTGGTGTACTGAGTGGCGGTTAGTAAACAAATTCGAATATTCATTTTACAATAGTGAGCTCGATTTTAAATTTGTTTAGTTTTAATATGAGACGTTGATGAGGGACCCTGTCAAATGCTTTGGAAAAGTCGAGAAAAATAGCGTCAGTCTGAATGTTTGTATTAAAGTGGCTGCGTGAATGTCATAAAGAAATGTCGTTACTTGGGTTTTACAAAAGTGTATGCTTTCCGGAATCAATGTAGGCGGTTAAAAAGGAGGTTTTTATTTTCTAAATAATTGATTATACTGGAGTAAAGTGCGTGTTTCATGAGCTTTGACGATACGCTAGTTATAGAGATAACACGATAGCTTGTAATTAAGTGGCGGTCACCAGACTTGGAAACAGGGGTTACGTTGCCAGTTTTCCAATCCGGCGAAATTTCAGGAGGGAAAATATGTCACAAAGGAAAGCTTCGGATGTGTGTTTCGCGTTTATTAGAATCTTTTGATTTGGTCACCCCCTGAGCTGGAAGACAGCTTTGAGTTCTCGGTTGCTTTCAGGACGCCGATATATTTGATGGAGATGGGCCCCATCGGAGTGTGCGAACACTTGCATGAGACGAGGTATTCAGGAGGTTTTCATCTGTAAATACAAAACTAAATAAATTATTAAGTGAAAGAGCACTTTGATGATAGGACCAATTGTAAGACAGGCGACGTGCAAGAATTAACAGTCTTCCAAAATTTCTTCGGCTTGTTGATCAAAATTTTAGAGAGGTCCCGAGTATAGAATTTAGTTTTTTTCTTCATTTATAGCTGATCAGCTTATAGTTAGTAAGCTGATCTTTCTATTATAGAAGGCTCAAACTTTCTCATGGCGGTTTCTGTTTTGTTTTTTGTTTTCATTGACGAATGAAACATATAGGCGGCAACCATGTTAATGAATACTTGATGTTGTTCTCTGATAGCTGGGTCTCCATGAAAATCTCCCCGTCAGTCTGTCTTTAACCTTGAGCGGTTTTGATGGGTGGAACGCTTAGATTTGGACGTCGTGCGTGTTTGTTTCACATACTTGTTTATTGCGAGGGTCTAATAACACCATATTGCTCTATTGTTCAGTTTCGTTCAAGTTCCTCGACACTTCTTGACAGGAGGACTATTTACTGCATCATTATGCAGGATTGTTGCAACGACCTGAGATATCGTGTGTTGAGAAATTCAGCTGCATTATAGGAATAAAATATTCATATATTTTAGACAAAACCAAGGTAGCTCAATTACTCTGTTATTTTTATGCCCACAGTAACGTCACAAGAAAAAAAAAACTTTTCTTTTGTAAAAGAACAATGCCTGCGCACTTACTTTACCGGATAGCACAAGAGCAGCTTATTACTATCGTTGGTTAAAAGAAGCAAAACAAATAAAAAAAATTAAAACAACCGTAACCAAATTTGACGTTTTCGTTGAGGTATGGCGACACGCATGGCTTACGTTATAGATGATAAATTTAGCCAGTACAGTATAACTTCTAGCTTGGCGTCTTTAACGTAAATCTCGCAGTAGCGGTACACGAACGCAGGCCGGAACGATGCTCACCCAGATCGATACGGGGGGGGGGGGATGGATCCCTCGGTCCATCCCTGCCCGAAAGAAGCCAGAATATTACGAGGACCATTCATAGAATTAAAATCTGAAGTCAGAAACCATATTCCCTTCCCTCGTTGATCTCTGTTCTGCTTCCGTAAATGACAATTATAGAGCAACACGTCCTAGGTATCAAGGCCGCAGTGCTCTCTTTCATGCGTCATCAATTGGAGGTCAGCGTTACGAGTCGCAGCCAAACACTGACAGAGCACTCCTGTTCAGTGTCTACCACTCGCTGGGTCGTTTTAGATGACGTAGAAAATGCAGCACAAGCGGCCTTGCTCTTTGGATGTTGTTCTGATAGACTCCGTTCGCCCTGCGGGGTAGGTGTACATCTTTGGGAAAGTTCGTAGAGTATCTGGGGTACTTTACTGCATGATCCGTCCACCAGTTACTCTGTAAACGCAGCGAAATTTAGTCCGATAAGCAGACATCATATGTATACTCTTGGTCGCTCGCGATACGCACGTGCTTAAAGAATCCATAAAGGCTGGTTCACACATTTACGACGGTTGCGTTTGCAACGTCCACAACGACGGAAAGGACAAGAACACCGGAACGACTGCGTGACTCGTGTTTGCTTCGCGAAGCTACCTCGTGCGTCGCTTTTCATTTTGTGTACGGCGAACCTTTGTCCCGGTGATTTACTGGCTGCTGTCGTTTCGGTTTGCTGTGAACTCAAATGTCTGAACCAGCCTTAGCTCAATCGGCTGCAACTTCCAAACTGTCGCTTCGAAGTCCTCGCGCGAAAGATCGGGCCCCCTGCTAGGAAAGCTCGAGTCGCGATGCTATTCTCGGTTGACACAGACCCCCGCATTGTCCCCATGCTCTCGCTCGATCGTCGCTTCTTCTATACGGCCGTGTTAGTCCAGACATCAAGAGACTGCGAGCAGCCGAGAGTGCGCTAATTTTGTCTCCTCTCGGCGACTAATGTCATTTTAGCGTGTAAGAGTATCCTGGCGGAACAAAACGAGCGAACAAAACAACAACAAGCAAAGGAATTGTTCGACGCTGAGTTATAGAGCCCGTCTTTTGTTCGCACTCACACGTGTCGTCTGGTTCCTGCAAAACAATTTCCACGGCCAGGTAGCGCGTCTTCGGACTGCATATGTATGCAACGGGGATATTGCATAAACCGATTGTGAGCGCTTAATGACCACACGTATGCTTTTGTCCTTGCACGAAGTGCGAACGCTTCTTATATAGTGACTACGAGCCGAAAGCTCGTGATTGTTGCCTAAAACGCTTTTTTTCCGCTTAATGTATACGCACACCGGTCTACGAGCAGGCAGACACACGTTTTTGAATGGAACGTGACTGTTACTTAAAACGGCTGCCGTCGCGTTATGTCTGCGGGCATTCACGTCTCCGAAGACAATGCGTTTCTTCCATGGGCGCTGTGCCATACGCAACGGGACTGTTCTGCATACCAATTTTGTACGCAAATTGTCTTATATGGCAACGAGAGCCTACACCGTGAAGTTGAGCGATGTTGTACATTAGGTCTGGGCTGTGGGTTTCCTAACGCTTTAATTCCCCAAACAATCGTGATACCCAAAATAGATGTGAGAAAACGTGGCTTGCACAAGCGTAAATGTAAATAAGGCACGTTTTCTTTTTGTTTACATTGAGCCAGCACAGTGTGAAATAACGCCATGGTTATTGGAGATAGTTCGCATAGTTGTTTCTCACCTCGTTTTCTCGAACCAGTCCAGAGATGTCGGGACCGCCTTTCTCTCGCTCACTTTCTTGTTTTCTTTATTCTATTGAAAGCCTTTTTAGACCATTCTCCTTCAAGCACGCCCTGCAGCAAGCGTCACGCGAAAAGTGTCCGTGCGCGTTTTAGTTTTTGTCTCTCAAGCAAAGCCTCGTTATGCTCCGATACGCCTCAAAGGGGCGAACGCGAAGGCTGCCCGCTTACTTTTAGTGTACGTCTATACTTACTTTCACCCGGTAATGACCCGTGGGCAACCTTGCGGTTCTTGATTGTGGTTGGGATTTCGTTTTCAGCGGCGCATTCGATCGCCTCGCGAGCGGCCTTGGCAGTTTCTCGCCAGCCAGCGGCGTTGGGAGATTTGTGACGCCCTGACGACCAGACGGCAGACATGGCCGCCACGACTGTTCCCCGATGCCCGGCGGACCACAGGCTCAAAGGCGGACTCTACACTTGTGCCGTGAGTACGAACTCTACAGCCTTCCTTTGCCAGAACCCCCCGCCGGCGGCAATATGAGCTGAAACACCCGATCCACCCCTTGGTCTTTGTCTGCGGTCCCCACAAGCTCTATTATTTCTCAATTTGTCAAATAGTGCCAAGTATGGGACCTCAATGTCGCAAGCCATTCCTATAGGTTCGAACCGTAGCTCCCTCGAAAACCGACAGGTACGACAAAGAAGCACACATGACTGACTTTTCTCATTTGAAAAGTTTTATTATACTGTTCTTCATCTGACTTCAGTGGAACCATAATTTATAAGCCACAACAACCCCCCCCCCCCCCCCTCCCCCAGCTCTCTTTGCCATGATTGGTGTTTTATTCGTAGGAGTGTGTAGATGTCTTCTGTGTGCGTCACTTGCTTTGGCCAGGATTTTTTTTTTTTTTTTTTGTTACGTTCCCTACATAAAAAGCGACTAAAAAAAAATTACACGAAGAGGTTCTCCACAGCTGGGTCATCCGAGACATCAAATATGTCCGGTATGAATAATCATGCCTTATCAAACCGTCAAGCGACTTTCAATCGCCAATTTAATAGCACGTCATCTGGAAGTACGTCATCGGCGATTGAGGCAGATGTTTTTTGTGGTCACCGAATTACCGCTCTGCTACATTGGGAGAAAGTTTCGCCGAAGGGTCTTGGTCTTGTCTTGTCAGTTTTTTCGTTTTGTTTATGATTTCCACGCTTGTCGCATTCAGGCCGTACTCTGAACACACAAACTAGATACGAATCCTAAAGGTAAAATCTCAAGACAGGATGTCGAAGTTAGTCACGAACGTGAGGGTAAAAATAAATGAGCAGTGCGTTACTTCATCTCATATTCTCGTAAACGTCATCAACCATCCTTGCAATTTACAGCTTCTTAAGAAGTATCAACCACTCGTTCATCTCCCTATCAAACTCTTATACGCTGCACGCACCCGCTTGGCGACGCAAGACAGCATTGTTGAATGAAAGCCCCACCAAGTCTCTGTTTCAGTCGTGTTCTCCTGTAGCTGAAAACGATAAAAACAAAAGAACAACAAAGAAGCTCTCTGCAGAACAGGGCGTGACTGCGAGGAAGTCTACGTAGTACTAGCCACCCTAGTAGTACGGCATGCCTTTACCGGATGTAAACAGCGAGCGCACATATGGTAAGAGTCGAGAACCTGCAAGCAGCGTAAACAGCGCCGCAGTGCAGGTTGTAGCCTAGAGAGACGTCTTCGTGGCCGCGCCTACTCGAGTCACACTTGCCAACTTGGGCCCCCTCTCGTGCGAAAGACAAGTTACTGCTTGCAGGGCCGCGTCGGGGAAGACAGGGTGGAGAGCGAAAGCAGAGCACCAACGGGCCGATGAATGGAGGGAGGGGGTCCGAGGGGGAGGCAGTGGGGGTCGGCGAGGTCCGCGGCGGGGCGCGACCGTGGGAAACTCCCCAATCTCGGGGCCCGGCCGAGTGGGACGGCGGAAGCAACGGCTCTCTTTCTTTCGTGCTGCTAAGAGCAGAGCACATTCCTCGCTGTTTTGGGGGGACTCCGGGGGGTTTCTGTGGTGTGGGGGAGATTAGCGAGAAGGAGGGAAGGGGGGGGGGGGGGGCGCTGAGAAGAAGACGTGTTTTGAGAAGCCCCCTGCTCCTTTCTTGCCTCTCTGTGTCTGGCCCCTTTGTTGGCTTTGTGGCGGCTTGGAATTGGTTCGATTGCCGCCACGAAATTCTTGGCGCGCCTTTTCTTTAGGGGGCGCTGGTCAGCTTTTATGCTGAAGTATGCCAGAGAAGCTTTTTTTTTTTTTTTTTTCTGGTTGTCTTGCGTGTCAACGGAAAATAGGTTCCTCTCGGAAGCTGAATGTTCCGTTCTCTTGGTTATGTAGATTTTTGGGTGTCGAAAGGGATGGTTCTTCTGGAATTTAAACTTTGCTAGCCGGGAGTTGTTAAATTTTCGTTTTAAAGAGTGCTCTGTTACTGGGCAAGACTTCCGCAAACTAATATTAGCTGTTGCGGAATGATTGCTCGCCATGAGACAAAATCGCGGCTGTTATTGCGCACATACAAAAAAAAAATTGTTCTTCTATGTGAGGAAAAATTCAATACCACAAAAACTTACGACGTAAAAAAAAAAAAAAACAAAAAAAAAACAACAAAAATGTTGATTCGAGGTTAACGCAGCGGGAAGGCAGTCTGTATTAAAACGAGGTCTGATGAAGAATCGAAAAAAAGTTGTGCTTGTTCTTTGTGATTTCTGCTTATTACCAAATGCCCGGTGTGTGTGTGCGTGCGTGTGTGTATTTTTACGCACATGAATATTGATCCTAGAAACAGTAAAAACACTGTCATCTATAATAATAATAATAATAGCTTTATTTACCATATATAAGCAAGGTGGGGGCTGAGGAAAAAAGCTGTCCAAGCAGCTTGACTGGTCCTCAGCCCCCCTCAGGTACATACAGTGGCGATAAAGACATTTAAAAATAACACAAGAAATTATATAATATTACAAGGTACTTTCATCATAACAAGGAACAACAGACAACTATCAGAAATACATCAAACAGGAATAACAATTGCCTATAAAAGAAATCGGGAAGTTGTAGACAAGAAAGGAAAAACTATCCAAAATATTCTTAAGATGCTTCAACACAATACATATATATATATATATATATATATATATATATATATATATATATATATATGCATACACATACAGACATACACATACATGCAAACACACAATATATACATATTATACATACGTACATACACATACATACATACACATAGACGCACATATATATACACATATACACACACGTACACAGAGACATCCTCCCGGAATATAATGTAACCACTTTTCCAAAGAAGCAGGAAGAGTTGGTCCTATACTTGTTATATTCTAAATTTTAGAGCCTTCCTGATGCTCGTTTTGCGGTGTCGCAGTGTCTATCTCTCTCTCTTTTTTTTTTTGTTTTTCAGTGTTTACGTTATTTCGCGATTCTTTTGGTGTGTGTTTATCATCGTTCGTGTGATTTCCGAAGTTGGCCTGCACTGCCTTCTTTGTAAGTAATTTCACTGTTGTTAGGGCCTGTGGTGCGTTTTCAAAGCATGCACATCGAATAATTTCTTAAAGCCCGTTCATACACTTGTGACTTATTAGGACTATGTGCCTTGAAAACTCTTAAAATCTCTTACGACGCGATAATACACTGGCGCCACCTATAGGGTAGCCGGGAACACTTGACGGTCCCGTGTATTTCTTGTTTTGTTCTCGCATTATTCTTTCTTTTTTGGCTTGAAAAAAAACCTTTGCCAATGCTATGAATGACAATTTCTCACAGGTAGTACGTGTATTCGACTGTGCAAACACCGCAAAACCTTCCTTTTAGTGAAATGTGGTTCCAGGGTCATCGCAGAGATTTTTGTCAGAGATTTTAAGATGTTTTAAACGGTTTACGACCGGCTGGCTGCATTGCTGTACATTACAAGACAAGGTTTCTGCAAGTAACGCTCATGTTCGGCGATAAATTATACCCAACGTTACTAAATTAGCTTATTTACGAAACTGCCAATAGACGCTGCTTCCCCTCTCTCCTCACGGCCATCCTCCCGTCCTTCGACGTGCTCAGCCAACACGCTCAGCTGTGCATGAGAGCCGCCATGACCGACCTTCAGTTTTTTAAAGCGAAATTCTAGATACCGCTTCAGACGACGGGAGGTGGCCCGAAGGGGGTGAGGGGGGTGCCCCTCTCCTCAGGAGCTCCACAAGTGAGTTAGAGCAAACGCTGCAGAGAAGGCGACCTCCTCTCCAGCGTTTCACTCATGCTAAAACGGAAAGAGGTGGGTGGAGCTTCCACTTAACCCTTACCCTTTCATCGACTCTAGTAACTTTGATTATGACTAACCGTGTCGTCAGAATCGTGGAGACGCAACACGTCTTTTTTTCCGCTCTATCAATGAGCGGCACAAAGACGTGCGCGAACCCACGCGCGCATCAACCCACGCGTGCGCGCGAAGCGTGCACGTGTTTTCCGAAGCTTGAATGGCTCCACTTGTTTGAACGCAACGCGCGGATGGCGAAAGCGTGACTGACGTCGTTGGGCGCGTTATTTCCCGATATGCGTGCCGCTGCGCCCCGTGTCGGATGATGAGTCCGCCGCGATGACAGCGCGGCTGGACAATGTGCCGTATACCCCTCCTGCCCACCCGAGCGCCGATGCGGCGGAGCCCCCCATCCCACGTCGGAGGAAGCGCGCGGGCGCGCACGACTGTCGACCGTCCGCCTACGCGGAGGCACGGTCTGGTCCCGTCGTCGCCCGGCGTCTATAGAATGTATGCCGCCCGAACAAGGCGTCGTATAGTTCCGCGTTCCGGAGCGATGCATGGGCACGCATGCCGCCATTCGGCCAGCTCGCGGTCAGCCCAACTCCCGTTGTTTAGGGATGAAGGACATGACGCTCGCCCTTCATACGCTTAAGTCCCCGATTACTTGTTTGACACGCCCTTGTGGGCGGAAAGACAGACGGTCGTTTATGAGCTTTTAATACAAAATCTGTTGAAAGCTCGACCTGTGGGCCTGTATTTCATGCGGAAAGCGTTACGTTCGAGTGTAGCACAGACCGAGGCAACGTAGAGCATACATAGCTCAGAGAGGGCAATGAATAGGCAGAAAAGGTATATTGAAACATATATTGTCGTACCCAGGACGGGCGATCGACAACCAGACGCTCTTTCATCGAAGAGGCGAATTGAAAGGGAAAAACCCTGTGGTATAAAAAAAAAAAAAAAAAAAAAAAGTTTTGGCTTGCGCAGCCGGCTTCTCAATTGAAGCGCAGCTTCCCAGGTGATCTCCCGACGTCGGGGGTCTCGAATATCTTTAAATGTTTTCTTCAACATTCTAATAAACCCGGTGAGGAGATGAGCGCGTCGTGCGTGAGGCACATCCGAAACCACCCGAAGCATTCCGTAAACGAGCATAACAAATCATGACGCAC